CAATACTCCACCCCCCCCCCCCCCCTCAAACATGCACTCACGTTTTCATACAGAACGTCGTGACAAAAGCTTTATAATCACCTTATGATGGCTCTCAAGTTATTTCGAGCTCTCAAGTTATTTCGCTCTATGACTCTCAAGTTATTTCGAGCTCAAAGAAATCCTTTAAAATCGACCTTGGTAATCGGACAGATATACAAATGCAACCACTACGTTGCCTACAGCCACGCCACCTGAACTCTGAAGATACAACAACTAATGCAACTATAGAAGAACCTGAAGTTCGCAGAACAAAATCTGATCGCCATGTTTATTTTCCAGAGCGTTACCTTTCGATCGTTTATGGTTAATTTCATGAACTTCTGCACTGGCAGGGAGCTCATGTAGTACATAGTGTTACCCATGCGTTCATATGTCGCGCAAAACATGCTCAACTTTGGAAGATTATCAAAATTTATATTTAACTTTATTTTTTTCATAAGCGTTTTAGGAAATAGACTCACCCAGCAAGAACAACTGATTGAACAGGTTTGCTGAAGAAAACAATGTTTGAAACCTTGGACAGCATTTAGAATAAACGGATCTTGAGTAATATTCAGCGACTGTGGTACAACTATTACTAATGATGGATCAGTTATATGCACCTAATTATATTTTCGGTACTTTGATATATTTTAAAAATATCTGAAGTGACTGTCGTTCTGCTATGTGCAATCAACAAATAGACTGATAATATTGTCTGTTAGTGTTACTAAATACAAGATCTTCATCTTGTATTTAGTAACACTAACAGACAATATTATCAGTCTATTTGTTGATTGCATTCACTCGTCCACAAAATATCCCAAATAATGAATTATACAGTTAAATAATTGCGTCAGTATAAATTCTCTAAATTGTTCCTGTATTTAACTATTATCAATAAAATGTTAAAACGGAGCTTTGATTGACTGATTCACCATTTATATACTAGTGAACTATTAAACTACACGATTTTTGCATATTTACCAGACGATGCCCTATCCACCGACCCGAGGTTAACGCCGAGCGGGCGTCTTGTTTATTCTATTTCCAAGACGTATTAGACTGTCGAGATCTGTCGAAGACGACTGTTATGTGTGTGGTAATGTCACTGATACAATTGGGAAACTGCTAATTTCAGCATTATCTAGCTACATTTAGCCAACAAGATTTTGGTATAGGCACCAACTATATACAATACGGCACTTAAACAAGCAACACCTAATTCGAGGGGGAAGTGTAGCCAAGTTTCTGCCATCGATGCTTTACCTCTTACGGTTCGTTTGGTGTGCATGTTTTTTTTCATGTTGTGATAGATTTTTTCTGTTTGTTCTTTGAGCAACTTTTTACAATTCAGAAAGATTTGGAGGTAGGCAAAATGGCAAATGTTCGAAAATTCGAAGAAGATTCTTATGAACAGAGATTTGACTGGCAACTTTCAATCTTATCGTAAGAAAGACAAGAAAGGTATCATTGGACAGCTAAAAAGCTGAATATCTTTATTGATAGGAAAAAGTAAATCTATAAACTCAACTAATAACGCACGATCACGTGCAAAAGTTGGATTATCTTTTTTTAATACATCCTGTATTATATATAGGCAACAAATATCACAAAGGCAAATCACATAGTTACGGTCATTTCATTTCTTTGTTGTGTACCTGCATATATTAATTTCCTATCCTATTTACAGCATCATAAAGTTTGATCTAAGATTATTAAGTACGTTTGAGCAAATTATTGAGAGCGTAACGACGTTTGCCTGCTATTCTTATTCGAGGCTGGAAAACACTCCGACACCCAGGGTAACGCCATTCTAAAGCAACAGTTGCTTTCGTTCGCTTAATCTGAAAGTGTAAAACAGGCCTTTAAATGGAGCTTAGATTACAAAGCATACAACACAAAATCAAAGTAAGCGTTAATCATGAGATCGCGACAAGTTTGCGTCGCGTTTTGGGCAAACTATTTCTCCGCACGTCACGAATTACATCATCAGCATCATCACCACTTTGAGGCCCACTATCACTACTATCAGCGGTTGATCCCAATACTCTAAGGTTAATCAATGGTATATGTGCTACGGCTGAAGCAATTGTCTCTTTTGAAGGTTTCTTCTTACGGGTCCGAGCTTGAGTGTAAAGAAAATAAAAATTATTTCCCACAACAGATATTGGCAGTGCTATAATAACAACACCACATAGTGCACACGTAACCCCAATCAATTTTCCTAGTCCAGTGACTGGTACTTTATCTCCATACCCTAGCGTCGTCATGGTTACGACTGCCCACCAGAATGATTCCGGAGCATTGCCGAACATTTCCGAGTTTGTGTCTTTTTCAGCGAGGTATATAAAACATGAGAATATGATCACTGGAATAATTATAGTTCCCAGGCCAAGGATAAGTTCATTGACACTCGCGAGAATTGCTTTGAGCATAATTTGGAAAGATATCGAAAGACTAAACAGTCGATATAAGCGGATAGTTTTGAGTGGTATCAGCCAAGCTGTTCTCTCATCTTCTGATACAAAGCTCAAAAAATACGGCAGTAGAGTTGCAAAGTCGACCCAGTTCATAAACGACTTAAGAAATTTCATTTTACTCGGGCAAAACAAGACACGTATGAGAAATTCCAGTGTGAAATAAACAGAAGATATTTCAAAGATTCTATCCAGTATGCGCATGTTGTTTGGATCATTCAGGAAGTGTGGCAAACTACGCAGGCAAAATTGCAGTAACATTAACATGATGAAGATGCTTGAGAATACGGCGTAGACCTGCAAAAAATTAACATTTTTAAATGCTTAATTGAATGAACAACTATAGTCTAGGACCTGCATAGGAGTTTGTATGCGTTTCATTTACCACAAGTAATCTCAACTGTTTTAGGGTAAAATGACCATGGCGGTCAACATGGCATATGTGCCAAAACCTGAATCTGGGACGAAAGTCCTGAAAATGACCGCGCCCTGAAACGGCAGTGCCGACATAGCTCAAACTTCCGAAAAGCAAAAGCGACAGCCTTTCTGAAGTACTTATAGTGTTTAGAAGGGTTGCTTTTAGGGGTGGTTATTGGAAGGAAAAAGTTGTGTAAGTATAATATTTTCTTCACATCGACGTTTGGAAATTGTGGATGGAATATAGTACAAGTCATGTAACTGAGTCAATGATTTTTTCCAATGTGGCTCCTCCTTGTCAAGTGCACCTTGTACCTTATTTGACCAACCAATAGCAATGTCTAAATTAACAAATGTTCCAGTCACAGATATAGTCGCACATGCAGCCTCATCTGGGTACGAGATGGTAATGAATTTAGAAAAATCATAGCTATGATTCGTAACTGTATCATCGACGTTCCAAACATTGTATTTTATTCAGAGCTCCGCTTATGGCTTCTTTTTAACAAAAAGCACTATGTTCAAACTTTGGCTTGAATAATTGGTTTATTTTGGTGCACTGGAGATATCTGTAATGGAGGAGGGTAGACGAAACCAAATACACGAGATAAAAATTTTATCCGAAAACTTTTAACCTATCATTATAACCCTATTAAACTGTCAATCTATACCAGTATACGCTGATTTTTTTGTCGCTTGTCAGCCACTACAGGACTCCATGCATTGCCACACATTTCATCAATGACCGTTCACTTCTATTCACTGTTTCTCAGCCGGTTTACAGAATTCAATCCGCGTGTGTTTATACAGTTCAATCTCTGCATGTGATATGCAAATATTTTGTGAATCTTTATACCCAAAGTATTTTGTGATCTTTATCTACTGCTATATATTTAGAGACACAAAACATGCACACTTAAAAAACTCATTAATAATTCAGGAAAGACGAAGGAAATCACTGCCGTGTCGGTGGTTTAGATCTGATAAAAAATCATTTACATAATCTTTAGCTTTGATTTTCTCGGCTTAGACAACGTTTATTTTTAAAATTACTTCGCCAATGAACTCATCAGATAGGTCGTTTTTTAAGCCATTAAAACACTCGCAGTCCTTGCTTTATCAGATATAAACTCGAGCTGTGCTCTTGTGTTTTATATCTGATAAAGCACTCCTGCTTGTGTTTTAAATACTACATTACATACTGATATACTTGAACAAATATTAACATGAAAAGTGCATGAAATTAAACTTTAAGAGCAACAAGTTGGGTTGTAGCAACGACAATTGGAACAATACGTCTTCTAAGCGCTCATTTGATTTCATTAAATACGTATATAGAAATGTATAAAAAGTAAAATATATAATTGCCATCTGGATTGATATGCATGCAGCAGTTCATACATAATTCGATTTAAAATCTAACCAATGCATGGTTTATGAGAGCATACATCTGTAAGAATTACCATATAACAACATTACCATATATGTTACGACACTAAAGACCATTGGTTCAATACAATGAAGCCCAGCCACCCTTACAATCCCGCGTCATTGAATATACATTATTACAGTCACTTATTTTTGTTCCCACAAAACGCCAAGACATGCAAATATATTTTCTTATAAAGATACGGTTACCTTGTTACCACGGCCAAAGTTTTATGGGCCCTCCTCAACCGTAGTAATGTGGTTCCAGTAAAAAATTATCGTTTATTATCTTTTAGAATCCACATCTTACCTTTGATGCAGTTGTCGAGTTCGGTTTTTCCAAAACTGTCCAAGCCATTTTCTTGTATTTCTTCCACATCACAGCGATCTTATCAGCACACGCTTCACTTGACGCTTGTGCATTGCCTCCATGCACATCAAAGACAGTAGACGCTGTAATTTCCTGCTTCTCTTTAGCACAAGACTGTAAAGACTTTTGATTCTTGATATGATTCTTGTAATGTACCCAACAACATGGTTCCATGTTTTGTGGGTTAATTCCCCAAAAACCGAGCTCCTCCGCAAACTGCAAGGCACAAATGTGAGTCGGGCAGTGCAGTTGTCCTGTACGATAATAGTTTAGCACTTCGTTAAAGATCACTGCATTACGATCAAAGAAATATTCCTCATTTGCGTGATCATACTCGGGTGAGAATGGATGTTTTTGCGCCAACCAACACAGTCGCGTATGTGGTATAGCAGTAAGTGTTCCAAAGTAGGTATGAAAACGTTGTCCACCAATATTTAATACAACTCTCTGACTCAATAACATTGTATTTGTTGAATAGCCTTTACAACTACGTCTTCTAGTACTGCCACTTGCCGCCATACCCGATGTATTTTTACTGATATAGCACCAAATACAATCACTTCACTAATTAATCCTTTCTCAAAACAATTTGTTGATCTAATTAAACAACATCAAAACCTTTATTGACGCTATAGGTGAAACACAACATAAGCTTTAAACGTCCAACTGCGGAGTTAATCTCTTATTCATTTACCATGTAGGTGGACAAAACATTAATCTTTTGTAATATGGCTGTTAGCACGTCGCTCTCGATCATGTCATATGCGAACAATGCGCGGTCAAAATACATACCGTGATACATGCTATTTACTGTACAAATTTGCTTGTTCTCGTTTGTTCTCGTTGTTAAAAAGATGAACCGCTAATAAAAAATGCAGGAAATAGTATAACACGCATTTCTGTTTTAGGATCAGGTTGTTTTATCGTTATATTGCAAAAGCTACAAGACAAACAGGAAACAGACGTTTCAAAACTAATAAACCACAAGTTTGCTTTGAACTAAGAGATAACTTTTGCATTCAAGATTGACCTTTTCGTGGGAATTAACTTCCCATGATAATCATTAAAAATAAAATGTAGCAAATAAAATATTTGCAAATTGTTTTGAAGCGATAATATGAAACACGAGTTAGGTAAAAAGGAGAGTTGGTAAAAGACGCGGCAAATTATGAAGTCTGAACGACGTTGTTGTGGTTAGAAACTCTCACTAGAGTATTTAACACTTCATTTATTCATACTAATGAAAAAAACACATTTGTTGCGGTGTGATAAGGGAATGGAATGAGATATACCACCCATGCAGTGTTTAGTGTGTTTGCATGAAACATGATAGATAGACGATACACTCTATACTATAGAATAGATACAAAATTAACTTCTTTTAGCTTAGAGCAATTTCAGGTAGGATCATAATTACTACATGGAAAAGGAAATTGTGGAAAACACAAATAAATAAACGTGCATGGTGTTTTCCACACAAACAAATCAATTATATAGCTACCGATGACGACGTTCTTTACTCAGGCAAAGTTTACTACATATAAATTATAGTCTCGTTTGTCTTCTCGTTTTGCATGCTGCTCTCGTTTTGGATTTTGGGCCATAATTTTCGCTTGCAAGGATGTTGATTTTGTAATCCAAAAGATTTTACCATTTTGCTATAATAACAGCCACTTTTCAAATCTGTCTACAGTTCCTATAGCTTCCAGTTGCACGTGAGTGGGACTGTTTCACAAAAAAAAGAGGCTGGATCAAAACCAAAATAGCAAATTTGGGTAAATATAAAGTTCTATAAATAAAAGTCAAAAGTGCATCACAACCATGTCCATACACTCAACGCCAAAAAGGCCAGGCGTAAGAGAACGACACAGTATATACTGTTTGTATAACGATTAATGATGGTATAGTGCATGTTATCGGTATATCGCAGAATTAATTATAATTGAGGATTATATGCCGTATGTTGCAAACTAGTCTAGGACCTGTGTAGATGTTTGTATGCGTTTCATTTAGCACAGGTAATCTCAACTGTTTTAGGGTAAAATGACCATGGCGGTCAACATGGCATATGTGCCAAAACCTGAATCCGGGACGAAAGTCCTGAAAATGACCCCGCCCTGAAACGGCAGTGTCGACATAGCTCCAACTTCCGAAAACGAAAAGCGACAGCCTTTCTGAAGTGCTTATGGTGTTTAGAAGTGTTGCTTTTAGGGGTGGTTAATGAAAGGAAAAATTTGTCTAAATATAATCCAGATGATCTTGATACGCGGAAAAGTACTGGCACTAGTTGTCAAATAGAAATCCATTTTA